GAGGAGGAGGAGGAGGAGGAGGAGGAGGAGGAGGACATTTCACTGCAGAATTTCCAGCCAAAATAATAGTTGGCATATTTCCTTCAATCTCCTGCAGAACACAAATTGATGTACCTAAAGGTAATAAGGCAAAGTCTTAAATTTAGCCAGAAGAAATATTTCACCAGTGGCAAACTAATACATTATTTAGAAAAGGGCTCAATCTGCTGGGCAAGGAAATATAGGCCAGAAAGAGTCTGGCAGCCTTCAGAAAAAAATACAATCATTATAGCTTTTCTAAATTCCTTCCTGAACCATGATCACCTTCACTGAAATATCCAATCTTGAATAGTCATAGCTAGAAAGTCAGAAAGAAAAAGCCTGAGAAATTTAGTGCCAGTAAGGAAACCATTAGTCCACAAGGCAGCCCTGTGGCACAGCTAAGTTGGTGGTGGTCAGTCTTCACACCTCCTGGATGGGAACTGCTACTGAGGTTAACAGGCACCCCTCATCTGTCCTCATCCACAGCAATATAAAGGCAGGCATTGATTTCAGCAAACATTCATGAAAAAGACCATAATGCAAATTGCCCAACTTTTGTGAGTCTTGCAATAAAGGGTACAGAGAAGAAAAAACCAGATCTATGGGTCTTTATATCAAAGGGTTAAGAAATTTAATAACAACTCCATTTTTTTGTTGTTGCAGATGGTACATTGACCTCTCTTTATTACTGCAGAAACTAGAGAGCCCTGCAAAGTGCAATAAAATGATGCACGTTTAGCTCCTCAATGTTTCAAAGCACCCTGATTTATTGGGAATCAGGCATATCTGAGCTTAATAATGGCCTCTTGTTTTGTGCAAACTTGCAAAAACAGCAATGCAGCTAGCTACCCACTGAGAAGTACTGCCAGGACCTTCACCTTCACTCTCATCTGCAATTCACACTAAGTGCTACATGCAAAGGTGCAAGCGCCATTACAACCACGTGCATATGGTATAACCGTATATTTGACATCCGTGAACCAGTCAAGAGATATCCTACAACATCTATTACTTAGGCTTGCTTCTGAAATACAGAAGTTCTCTAGTGGACTATAGCAGGAAATTTAAGATCAATTTTAGCATACATAGAAATAAATCTAATAGTCTTGGCATTCAAAAAGAAAATAATGAAACATTACTGTTGTGGCTTAGCTTCTTGAATATAGAAAAGGCCCCCCCTCTGTATGAACAGATTCTTGCTAGGTGACAGCTGATACATAATCTAGATTCTACTTTATGAATCAAAATGGAATCCCACCTGTACTGGGACACTAGCACCTCTTCTTAAGCATCCAAAAATCTTTAAACACTCTCCACGTCACCAGCCCTTCAAATTCTCTTTCATAGAAATTATTTTGCAGATTTGTTCTCAAACCTCAAGGACTATAGCCAGTTTTTCTTGGCTACAGATAGTTACCTAAGGACCGCATCCTCTAGACCTGTGCTCACCACCCCAGGATAGCCAGGCAATGATTGCATCCTACATATGATTCTACACTGCTGTCTTTGTGTCTAGGATCATTTACCTACATGCAAATGTTGCCTGCCCTACACCATAATGCCCCTTCCAGATACCATGGAAGATACTGACTGCTAGAAACTCAGATTAAACATGCCGGCCCTGCCCCCGGGGTGCGCTGAGACAGCAATTGAGACAGTGAGGTGGCATGTGCCTATAATCCCAGTGCTTGGGAAGCCAAAAACAGGAGAATCACTATGAGTCCAACCTGTGTAGTGAGATCCTATAGACCCTGTAGACCTAGTACTAAATACCTTAAAAAAAAAAAAGAAAGAAAGAAAGAAATTTAGATTAAAGTGTATAACAGGTCTTTAGAAGATTACTTTTATTAATAACTAGTGTTAACTGGCTAGCACCTGTCAAGCCAAACTAATAATAAAGCAAGCAGTAAATACTTCCTTAGCATTCAAAAAAATTATGTCATATTAAATAGAATCATGTCCTGAAATATTAAACATATATCTTCTGAAAGAATGTATTTTCTTATGGCTGTATTTTCTTATTTCTTTTAGAAGAAAACATTTAAAACAGCATAGGTTCATTCTGTAAAGAACTCCAAGTTCTGAAGGTATCTGCTTACACTGTACATAAAAAATTAGAATACCTAAAGTTATATACTATTTTAAAATACCAACCAAAATGCAAAAATAAGTCAAGCCCAGGAGAAACCAGAAGCAGCTAAGTCAGAAAGGTATTTCTTTAAATCAGGACAGTGCCGGTAGCAACATCACATCTCCCAGTATTGTTACTCTGCCCCACTCTCCCTTAAGTGCTGTCTTGCCATACTGAGATCCTGGATATCTTCAAAGCCCTCATAGAAACTATTTTTCTGTGAACACTCTACATCTCAACTATCTTTAAAGGAATACACCATCAACACATCACTCCAGTCCTCATCCAACCCCCAAATACATTGTACTCTCAAGAAAAATGCCCTGAATTTTTATATAAACCATCAAGAGGAAACAGACTTGAGAGGAAAAAACAAAACCTTCAGGGATTTATCAAAATAATCACCGAGAAACTGTCTTCTAAAGAATAAAGTTCTGTTATTACTGACTTGACAAGTTATAAATGCAAACCACAAAGACAGACAGATGTATCCTCACTAACATGAGCTCCAACAGAAACTACCTAAGGGCATTGTTAAAGGCAGGAACAAATTCATTTCTGGCTATCCTCTTACTCAAAGAATGTAAATAATATACAGGAAATCCCTAAATTTCAGATTGTTTAGATAAATGATTCACAAATCAAACTCCCAACTAGGCAAGTGTTAAGTAGGTTCCATAAATCATTTGTCTCCATCAGACTTATAGCCAAGAAGAGAATAAAACCTACAGGAGGTGCACAAGTAAGGAAACCTGCTTAACTTGCCTTCTTCATAACACTCCTTACAGATAATTTCAGACTCAGGCATCACACAAAGCTAGATATAATATGGGCACCTTGGTAAGCATGTCAAATGTCTAATTTCCTATTAAAGAAATTTAATAAGTCTTCAAGCTGGTTTATATTTTTTTAAAAAAGTCTTTGGGTAGTTTACAAATACCTAGATTTTAAAGGCAATATGACAGTTATATTGTATGCCACTTTTATGAAAGAAAGACGGGAGGCAGGGAGGGAGGGAAAGATGGAGGGAAGGAGGGAGGGAGGGAGGAAGGGAGGGAGGAAAGAAGGAAGGAGAGAGAGAAAGCAAACAAGCAAGAAAGGAGGCAGGCAGACTGTAAGATATAAGCCCAAAAAAAAAACAAAAAACAAAAAAAAACTAATTGGTAACTAATTCCCTAAAAAGAAACCTACCTTCTGAATCAAATCTAAGTGCATAATAGGTGTCATCTTTTGAACACTGGGTACTTTTTTCTCTCCTGTCTGAAAACAGAAGACAGGAAGGATACAGCTCTACCTAGTTGAGGTTATAGAAGAGTTACTGAAAATACATTTCCTGTACAAAATAAAATCCACAATTTAAGATAACATGAAAAATTTATTTTTAAAAGATTCTGTGAGGAAAATTCATGACACCAATTACCTGATGCATGGCTCACAGTAATGTATGAGCTGTCACCATAAATAACACACATACACACTAACAGGCTAGAGGATGACATGCAGGGATGCAAGGAGCATGCAATCCTTAGAAATATGATGTGAGGATCTACAAAGAATTCTCACTTGAACTCAAGAGTTTGAGACAAAGGAAGGGAAGAAGAAGAAAGACGAAGGAAGAAAGACGAAGAAAGAAAGACGAAGGAGGAGGGAGGAG